ATAGAAAGTACAGCTAAACCTTCTCTTTACTTTAATCCTGTATTGAGTGTTGAGTTACAGTATTCTGAGAAATGACTAATACCTTAACTATAGAAAAGTAAATAAACCCTTAGAAATCTTCTTTCAGATAGGATTTTCAATACTGAACTGTAAGAAAAAAATGTAAGCACAATAGTTTATCTTGTCTCTTCTGATATGAAACAAAAAATCTGCCCTAATAGACTTTCCAGTGCTGACCTTTAAAGGGAAAGATGGAACAGATGGAGCTACACAGCTGTGTACTAAATAATAATGATAATAACAATTATTATTTTAGCATTTTTGTTGTCTTTTGTCTTAAATGTGTGTTGCAGAGTTTATGCAACATTTTTAAGACAAGAGACAACAAAAACAGCAAACATGAATCTTATGAATATCAGAAACCATTTAGGGAATCCATTCTGAGACCTGCACAGCTTTCTGTTCATCATTGCTATTTTTCTAGAAAAAGAGATGTCGGTACTCACCGTGAAAGTTTCCCTTGTTCTCTTAGAATGAACTGGTGCCCATCTGAGAGGTGTCAGAACTAAGCTCTGGTGAGTTCTGGCTGAAAAAAGGCCCTGCTTTTATAGTGTTATAGCTGCCGGTTTTGTTTTTGTTGTTCTACATGCTTCCATTATGTTATCTTTACTCCACCAACATCCAAAAATGCTGCAGTCATCAAACCATTTTTTTCTTCTATTGCGAATATCTTGGCATTTGTGAAAGTTACAGAATGACTCCACAACACTCTCATTGTGTAGAAGGTGTTTTGTGCAATTTTCCACATCCAGCTGTTAGATTGAGTATCCTCTATTTCACGCCTTTCCCCCATCTTTTTGGACAGGAGGCCTGTCACTGCAGTCTCTAAAATAGTGGATAGCTCAGGCAGACACTGTGAACTTAAGTAGCTCCTGCCTCTATTCTCCTAATACTGCCTTTAAAAAAAAGGTAAAGGACCCCTGACAGTTAAGTCCAGTCACGAATGCCTCTGGGGTTGCGGCGCTCATCTCCCTTTACTGGCCAAGGGAGCTGACGTTTGTCCGCAGATAGTTTTTCCAGGTCATGTGGCCACCATGACTAAGCCGCTTCTGGGAAAACCAGAGCAGCGCATGAAAACTCCAGTTACCTTCCTGCCTGAGCGATACCTATTTATCTACTTGTACTTTGACATGCTTTTGAACTGTTAGGTTGGCAGGAGCTGGGACTGAGCAATGAGAGCTCACCCCATCATTGGTGGCACTGTGGTCTAAACCACGGAGCCTAGGGCTTGCCGATCAGAAGGTCAGCGGTTCAAATACTGCCTTACTTCTCCTAATGTTGTAATATCTCATGAAGTGAGCATTCTGGTATACCAGATCAGCTTTGTAGGAAAATGAGCCTCACATGAGTAGAAGATGCCATCTACTTCCACTTGTGCAACAGGATGTTACTCTCCTCTCTTCTTCCCTGTAGCCTCTGATAACCATCTAGAAACCCTCAAAATCTGCTCCAAAGTGTTAGGACACACTCTGAAATAGTTTTGGGGGTGCATGGGGGACTTCAGGGGAGAGGAAAGACAAGTCCTGTTGGGTGAGGAAAAGTCTGGACAACATTGGATTCTGCTCAAAGTAGACTGGCAACTTATATATATATGACCACTGAGCAGAGCACAAGAGAGAATAAATGTCATGGTGCATCTGCAGCAGCACAACTGTTGGGGTTGGCATTCATCTGTCTCAGGAGACTATGGAGGAGTGTGCCTTTGGAGGTGCGATCAAATGGTTGGAAGGTTGCAACACCTGCTGTGGCTGTAGAGACCGATACAGGAGAGACATGTTTTGTTGCAGCTGGGGCAGATGGGCAAGTGCCAAAGTCCTGCTGTAAAATGAAGTCTGGAGGAAGAATGGGGAGGCACACAATGCCAGATGCTTGAAGTCCAGTGTGAAGTTTCCACAGTCTGCGTTGATTTGGGGAGCCATGTCATCAGCTGGTGTTGGTCCACTGTGCTTCATTGAGTCCAGGGTCAACACAGCCGTCTACCATGAGATTTTGGAGCACTTCATGCTTCCTTCTGCAGACGAGCTTTATGGGGATGCTGACTTCATTTTCCAGCAGGACTTTAGCACCTGCCCACACTGCCAAAAGTACCAAAACCTGGTTCAATGCCCATGGGATTACTGTGCTTGATTGGCCAGCAAACTCGCCTGACCTGAACTCCATAGAGAATCTATGGGGCATTGCCAAGAGAAAGACGAGAGACATGAGACCGAGCAATGTAGAAGAGCTGAAGGCTGCTATTGAAGCATCCTGATCTTCCATAACACCTCAGCAGTGCCACAGGCTAATAGCATCCATGCCATGTCACATTGAGGCAGTAATTGATGCAAAAGGGGCCCAGACCAAGTACTGAGTACATATGCAAGCTTCTACTTCTCAAAGGTCCAATATTGCTCTATTTGCAATCCTTGTTTTGCTGATTTCATTTAATATTCTAATTTTCTGAGATTTTTAATTTGGGGTTTTCATCAGCTGTACGCCATAATCATCACAATTGTAACAAATAAAGGCTTGACATATCTCGCTTTGCATGTCATGAGTCTATCTCATATATTAGTTTCACCTTTTATGTTGAATTACTGAAATAAATGAACTTTTCCACAATAATCTAATTTTCCGAGTTTCACCTGTATATATGCTGGGAAAATACAGTTTAATATGGGATTCTTGAGAGATACTTTATAGGTGGCTAGGCTCACTGGCTATCTAACAACAAAGGCATCTACATTTTAGAAACTTATATATCCACTTGATTTATATAAGTCTAGAAGTGTTGCTTCCTGGTATAAATACATAAGAAATATGATAGCTGAGGCAAGAATATATTATTTACTTAATGTTTACTTACAAGACAAGAATTCTAGCAAGCAAAGTCAGATTATCTATACACTTCATCTTTGAATCTGATTTGATAAATTTTAAGAAAATGCCATATAAATCTTCAGTCTCTTGCAAAAGAACCGACTTTCCCAGGTTCTGGTGGTTTGCTGCTAGGATAATAAAAGGATGACTATTCAACTTTGGCTAGGCATCTTAAATCAAACGATGGAAAATACAAGCAGTTTGTCTACTGAACAAGAAAAATGCCTTGCAAGATAAACTGTGAGACTTCAGTAGGAAGGCCTGGGTTCAAATCACCACTGAGCCATGACGTGCACAGGGTTATCTCTAAGCTGAATTTACCTTCAGTTGCTGGAAAATGTGGGAGACGAGAGTGCTGTTGTCTGCTGGCAGGCCTCCCATGGACATCTGCTTGGTCACAGTGAAAGCAGGATGGTGGACTAAATCGGGCCCAGTGGCCCGATCTAAAAGGACTAATATTTTCTTCTTACGATTATTGTGAGTCTAAAATGAGAGAGAAACACCAAGATGAAGAGTCTCGTGCTCTACCAACTGAACCTCTATCCATCTGCCATATATGCTGCCTTCAGAGGAGGGGTGTAATGCATATTTAACAACTCTTAATACAAGAGAGACAAATATGAATCCAGCAAATATGCCCCCTTACTCTATATCGTTGTTAATTATATGTCTTTGGTCAATAAGCCTCTTAAGTGAGTTCTCAGAAGATGACCTTGCGTGCCACGGAGAGAGTAAACCCCATAATAGGGATTTGGGGAGATCAAGCATGAATCTTTTTTTTCTTTTGCCAATCCTCTTGCATTTTTTGATTTAATTTAGCACGGATCATTATCAGGCAAAATATTTTTGCAAAGCTTATACAGTTGGAGAGTTTTTGTTTTTTGTTTAGCATAGATGCAATATCTTGATTTATTCAAAACTGTTATATGGGGGGGGGTGGAACCGAAAGACTATCTATAATATCAATTTATGGCAATGGACAGGTTTCTGTGACTGTTTCTATTTGCCATAGAAGTAAAGAGTTTTGGTATCTGAAGCTGTGATGTTGCTTTTCAGCCTACAAATTGCACTTAATTTTTAATGTTTACATCAACGTGATTTTGTCCGTTTTAACCATATATCTTTTTCATTTCTGCTCCTTTAATTGTAAATAAAAAATGCCAAAAGAAGATTGCAACGAATTTTATCTTTTTGATGCTTTTAAAATATGCATCATATTATAATGCCGAGTCTGCAAAATTATTATCCATGATAGAAATATATACTATGAAATATATACCTTGTGTTAAGAGCTGAGATAATCAAGTGTTCCTGAAAGTGATGATTGGTGTGTTTATTTTGGATTACCTTTTGCAATTTGACACCACAATATCAGTGTTGGCTATCAAAGTACTGAACTGAATCTCCCACTAACAATCAGCAGAGGATGGGGCTATCCTTATGCTGCCACAAATATTGCTGTGCTGACCGAGAGAGCTGCAGGGTTTGGCTCAGCGGTTTTGATAATCCCCACTCTAAACTACTCACTGCGACCTTTCTCCTGATTGGCTTAGGGCTCCCATAAATGCTTTCCAGGGTTATGCTGAACAATCCACATTTTGGGCATTGAAATAGACACCATTCATCTCACATATCGGAGGCTGCTTCTCAAAACATCTGAATTTTTAGAGGAAAATTCAGTTTGAATATGTGAGTGCATAAGGACATATGAAGGCCCATTGTGGTCCAGCATCCTGTTCTCACAGTAGCCAATCAGAGGCCTACTGGTATACAGAGACGTACAGCCTCAAACAGTGGAGAAATGACACAATCAAGGCTTGTTGCCATTTATAGACTTATCCTCCTTAAATTTGTATAATCCTCTTTTAAAGCCGCACAGGTTGGTAGCCATTGCTACAGCTTGTGGGAGCGATTTCAATGGTTTAACCAGAGTGACTTGATTTCTTTTCAGCCTCTCCTCTGGAGACTAGCCAAAACTTCACATTCAGAAGCTGCTTGAGCTGAGTGAGGTCATTGGACTATCTGCACTGACCACAGGGGCTCTCTGGGGTTTTAGATATGGAGTGTCTCCCATTACTATCTGAAAATGCCAGGGATTGAGGTTGGGACCTTCTTCACACAAGGCAGATGCTCTACCGCTGAACTACAGCCCTTCCCCAGATTATTCAGGCTATTTTGTACTAGCCCTTGGTAGATGAAGCTTATCAGGTGTGAGGGAATTTTCACAAGTTAAGAGTTTTACAGAGTATCTTGTGTTGGTTATATCTGAAGGAGTGTCTCCACCCCCATCGTTCTACCCGGACATTGAGGTCCAGCGCCGAGGGCCTTCTGGCGGTTCCCTCACTGCGAGAAGCCAAGTTACAGGGAACCAAGGCAGAGGGCCTTCTCGGTAGTGGCGCCCGCCCTGTGGAACGCTCTCCCATCAGATGTCAAAGAGAAAAACAACTACCAGACTTTTAGAAGACATCTGAAGGCAGCCCTGTTTAGGGAAGCTTTTAATGTTTGATGCATTACTGTATTTTAATATTTTGTTGGAAGCTGCCCAGAGTGGCTGGGGAAGCCCATCCAGATGGGCGGGGTATAAATATATTATTATTATTATTATTATTATTATTATTATTATTATTATTATTATTATTTTATTTATGTTTGGTTTATTAAAGTCTACTTTCCCACCTCATGCTGCAGAAATGTCAACAGCAGAACAATCCAACCCCCCCTTTTTTTCATTGGGGTTTGGGTGGCTTCAGTCCTTTGCTAGACCCAGTCAGGCTCTTCCTGAGGAGTGATGCCAGCATCACTCTGCTGGCATTCAGCATCCTCTTATGGCTGCTGAAAGTGCAGGGAGATAGAAGAGCCTCTTGAAGGTATCTCACCATTGGAAAACCCCTAAATGGTGTTTTGGGATGGGAGGGGTCGAGCCGGCCTGGGATTAGTTAGATCCTGAAATGGCCATGCTGCCATCACTTTATGGTATGGGCCCTGATGCTCCACACCTTTTGCCCTGGTTGGCATGCTTGGCTGGGCTACAGATAAGCCCCACCCGGAAGTGGTGGGGTGAGGATTGCACATGAAATCATTACATCTGGGTTCTGATGGAACAACCATTTCCAACTTTTTTTTGAGCTCAGAACAGTCTATTTAAATCACCCTTTGGAGAAATATAATCAAATATGCAGTTTTGTGAAAGTGCTAGGACACAGCAGCTATGCAAAGGGTTCATTCTTAAAAGGATCTTCGTGGTGCCAATTAAAATTATAATTTAAGGCAAAGCTATCATAATTAATGGGCTTAGCATTAACCTAACAGAACCTTTATCATTCAACTGTTCAATTACTCTTGATCTGAATTTGTCATAAAATTTTAGGGTTTCAGGAAATCTTTGCTTCTATTAATTGCTACTGCAATGGCTTGTAAAGATATCCATTATCTTTTTCCAAGACATTTGCACTCGTTGGTATTGCTTTGACCTTCTTCCTTAATTGTGTGGTGTTGCATTGCAGTTCAGGGAAAGAGAGGCCAGGGGGTCCTTGCTTTTTGGAAAAAATGCTTAGTTCTGTTCACGTTTTTCTCCATTTCATCCTTATATCCCTGTTAGGTGTCCTTACCTTTCCTGAAAGGGCTTGGAGAGATGGCCAAAAGACAGAGGACCATGGGTGTAGGAAGTGGTACTAGTGGCAAGTGTGCTTACCTGTTCTAGGCCCACTGCAAATCAGATGTGCTCCACTGGCAAAACTAGCTAGTAATCAGAGACCTGAAGCCTCTATAATGTGGGTGGATAGTTCTTAACATGTTCTAAACTGTCAAACTTGGATTTAGCCCTTTTCTACTGAAAGGTCTGGTACAGATAATGGTTGAATTGATGCCTGGGAATAAAGGTTTGTGTGTGGAAGTAATTGAGCCCTAAATTAGGAATATTGGCGCAGTTACTGTCCTGCTAGAAAATGAATTTATAGATGAAGTGTTGTGCAACAACCCAATATTCACAGTGTAAAAGTTTCATTCTAGTCGATAAAAGCTTTAACCATAGTAAATCCGTTAGGGTTGTATCCAGCCATATCTGTGCATCAGCAAAACAGAATTTCACTCATGCATCAGATTGAGTCCTTTCCCCTCTTACTTGTGCCTCCCCTGTGTGTCCTTAACATCTGCTCTGGAAGGTTTAGGGGAACTCTCCAGAGGAGATTTTGGGAGGCATGGGGAGGAAGTGAAGCCCCTTTGCATGAGCAGTCTCATCTCATGTGTCATTGGATTTCAATGGTTAGTCTTTAAGGTACTTTCCTGCCTTTCCAGCTGTGGATTAACACAGCAAGTGCCTGCTTGAGGATTGAGCTTGCCCTCAGCAGAGTTCCTTGTTAAGTTGTGGGTGAACATATCAGACGATTCTTCAAACAACTCTTCTTTATTCAAATGCCAGAACAGAACTGAACTGAAGGGCTCAGTCAGCAACGTAACTGTTGCAACTTTCTAAAATTATCCAATCACTGAACGTCACTTTCGATCCTTCATTTGCATACAAAATATCCAGTCACTGAACGTCACTTTCGATCCTTCATTTGCATAACTATCTACAGTATCCCCCTGCTGGCCCAGGTTGAGAACTTCAGTACATAACATTCCTCCTGTAGAGTCCCTGGGGTCAAGGTTGTACCTATCTCAGTTTTCCAAAAATGCAATGCCACAGAAAGTTTTTCAATGTTTTTGTGAAGGTAGTCATCTCCTCTCCAAAAAGTGCTGTGATGCTCCAGGTTCAATCTGCAGCATCTCCAGGCGTGCTCCCAAGCCTGGACATAACTACCCTTTTTAATCTTAGGTAGGGTGTTCCCTACATAGGTTTAGGTTTCTACCCAACAAAGTTATTCTATGAGTGCAGGGACTTCTTCTCGCACAATAGAGCTTTCCTCTCCTTCCCCTCCTCTGCACAATTTAAAAGTAGTACCGTTTACCCCATGAGCCTAGCTTAATTTCTTCTCCTTTTCCAGTGCTCTTTCTTTAGAGAGTCCACGAGTTTTTGACATTGGATGACTTTATAAAACATTCTACTAATTGGATTTGTTAAAATAAATAAATCAAAAGCTAATTGGTACGTGCCCTGCCATTATTTTTGCTTACTGAATTAGATATAATGGCGTGAAGTCCTTTTTATCATATTTGTGCACTTATTTAAACACCCCCCTGGCACACACTTCTGCAAATTCAATTATAGATTCAAAGAAAGCACTCAATTTATGCAAGGCTGGTTTACATTTAATCCAGGGGCAAGACTCAGTAACTGATGATAGGTCTGTTCAAAATTAATTAGGATCATTCAGAGGAACGGCGGCATTGTTACCAGTGCACAATGTAAAACAGGGGTTATTTCAGCCTTTGCCGTAATGAGTCACAACTGCAAGCTTGTTGTGGGTCAAGGGAGCCTTTGTTTATTTGGGTTTCTCTTTCCGTGCTGGGAGGTCACTTGTTCTTTGTCTCGGCTTCATGTGGGACAGATTAATAAGAGGATTTCCACAGGAGGGTGCAAAGAATGCAGAGAAGCTGAATGTCTTCTTTGTTTGCATCAGTATTCACCCAGGAAAGTGTTGGGTGGAAACCCATGGCTGAGTTGTTTTGTTTTCTCGCTGCAGGAAGGGTGTCCAAAGAAGTAAGTCAGATGAAGGTGACATTCTGCAGCTCATCAACAAGTTGAAATTTAACGTGGCACATGGGAGAAAGGTCTTTGAACAAAAATATGTACCTTCCCTTAAAATTGCCTCTGTGCCAGAGGACTGGACAGTAGAGATATAGAGAGCATTTCCATAGGAGTGCCCTTGAAAGCACCTTTGGGAGCAGGTTCAAGGAGAGCATGGTTGAATAGATGCAGCTCCCTGTTGACAGCCAAGGTGCCTCTGAATGCCAGTGTCTGGCAGAGAAGCAACAGGGAAGGGACATGGTCTTCATGCTTTGCTCATGGGCTGACCATTGTTAGATTCAGGCTGTTGGACTAGATGAATATTTGTTCTGATTCAGCAAGACTCTTTTTCTTTTCTCATTCATTTCTGTAAACTGTATCATTTTCTTTATATTTTCAACCAACTCTCAACTACTTTATTTATTTGCTGCAAGAAATATATCCTCTGTCCTCCTTCCCTTCCAAAATAACACTCCAACTGCTCATATTATAAATGTTTCTTAGGGGTATTTGAAATGTCTAAATGCACCCGTTAGTTAAGTGGTTGGTAGGTAGGTTTGTGCGGGATGCAGGTGGCGCTGTGGGTTAAACCACAGAGCCTAGGACTTGCCGATCAGAAGGTCAGCGGTTCGAATCCCCGCGACGGGGTGAGCTCCCGTTGCTCGGTCCCTGCTCCTGCCAACCTAGCAGTTCGAAAGCACGTCAAAGTGCAAGTAGATAAATGGGTACCGCTCCGGCGGGAAGGTAAACAGCATTTCTGTGCGCTGTTCTGGTTCGCCAGAAGCGGCTTAGTCATGCTGGCCACATGACCCGGAAGCTGTACGCCAGCTCCCTTGGCCAATAAAGCGAGATGAGCACCGCAACCCCAGAGTTGGCCACAACTGGACCTAATGGTCAGGGGTCCCTTTACCTTTACCTAGGTAGGTTTGTACTTTGTTTTTAAGACTGTATATTGACTTCTAACATTTTCGTACCATGGCTGTTTGAAACCAATTGCACTGATAACCAATAGCTATGATAAATGTCCAAAATTGCAGGTAGCCTCTGAGTTGCTTTTGGTGGGGTGGGGCTTATACCTAAGTCCTTCTGCAACACATGAATGTACCATTTTGCAAGCAGAAACCTCTTAGGCTAGTGGACCAGGAGTGATGGATGGCTTATTGCACCATCCAGTGTGTTACCAAAACCCTGATAGCATGTTTTCACTCAAAATTTGGCAAAGTGATGCCATCTAATTATATGCATGTGTACTTGCTCTTTTCCTTGTTCTTGTGCATTATCTTAACCATAATGTTGTTGAGGAGCACTCGTGCTGCCATAAGTAATTTTAGCAACAGATGATAAATAATGCCGTAAAGAACATGATCTCCTCTGATCTACCGGTCTTTAGGATAGCTTAATAATGGTGATCACAATAAATACGTTGAATAATTATTTGAAGTGACATTTTCCCTGCAATAGTCTGAGCTTCTAGAGAAAGATAGGAGTCT